TCTAACGTGGTCTACAGGTGAGATTAACTGGCCTGGTCCCCAGGACCAGCTTGTGGTCTGACTTCTGTGTTCAAAATCCAGCTCCTCCCAGGACCTGTGGCTGATGCACAAAAAGAGCAGCAGATGTTTACGAGAATAAAACATAAGCGACATTTAAAAGTGAAGACGTTTCTTCCATGGATGCACAAAGTCCCAAATTTAGCAGACAAGGCTGAACACCACATATGGCAGAACACAGCTATAAAAGTTGTCAGCAAGTGATACTCATCTCGATTTAGAAACAACTTGTTCCTACCATGTAACGTAAATGTGATTAAAAACATGCCTGTCTTAGCTGCAAGTGTAGTATACACACTCGTTACAGGAACTGAGAAAAGTGCTGGCATGGATTCAGTTTTCTTTTTTCACCCCACAGATACACAGTCTCAGATTTTTTGGTCCATATTACTCATTTTTCTCATTCTATGGCTCAATAGCCAACAGCTTCCAGCAAGTGCTCGGCCTTCCAAATGTAAGTGCTGCTGGGCAGGATTAAGCAGCGCTATTTCGAGTTCCCGGTTTGATGAAGCAGTACATAATGCAAAGCGGACGACAGACCACTAAGGTTACCAAGCTCTAGGAATGGCATCACTCGAAGGCTCAGGCAAAGGGGCACAATCCGACATGCTGCCCTTCCAGGGCTCGACATCAGCTAGCGAAGGATATGCAGGGCGAGGAAAAACATCCTATTAGTACTTGCTAACTTCATGTAGCCCTTTCGCTTCTATTGCTAAGAAGGAAAGGTGGGTCAGTCATGTTTCCCCACCTCCTGTTTGTTTGCTCAGACACTCAGTGAGTACAGGCACAAAGGCAGCATGAATAAGGCCAAAGTCAAGCCCATTCCAAAGGAAAAAAAAACAGCAAAAGGCTAATATTTACAGAAATACCTTCAGAGTGGTTTTGCTCAGCTGGCAGCGAGACATTGCTGAGAGATGGGATACGCTTTCTGCAACCAGGCTTGGCTTTGCCCTCCGCAACCGCATTTTGCTGCTGCTGCAGCAGCCTGGCTGGTCTCCCACCACCCCCCGCGCCCAGCACCTCAGTGCACAACACCACTTCCACCTTGCAGCACCCTGGTCATATTTGATTTTACCAGGCTTAGTCAACAAAGCATTTTGTGTCCTTAATCATAACCACAATTTTCGTAATTTATTCTGTGGGGCCAGCCAGGTCACCTTTCGGGCTAGAAAAACACTCCATCCAAGCAGCCACAAAATGAAAAGCCAGCTGCGTGACCCCTCTCCCACCTTTGCCATATTCCATTCCAGCAGGAGTTAAGGGTTCATCTCCCCCTCTCCCACCTCTGCTGAGGGCTCCTTACCTCCCTCCCGTTTCGCTCCAAAGCCACCCCTCACATTGACACCCCTTGCCCCAGGGCCCCGGCAAGCCCCACCGCGCCGCACGCCCTCCAGCCTCCCCCACTTCTCTCTTGCACTGGGGCTAAAACCTTTGCCATGCCACTTAGGAGCCCCAAAGTCCAACTGCTGCTTCTGGGATGCCATTCGCTTCTCCAAACCCTGCGAGGCCAAAGCTCATCCCTTGGGCTCCTGTCGGGGAAACCAAACTATCACCCCTCCTTCTGACAGCAGCACATCAGCGGCTTCCTTCCGTTCAGACTGTATTTATCGCAGCGCCAGCTCTCAGCTCCCACAGCGTGATAAAGCTTCCCCGTAAACTCACGCTCTTATAAATTCAATCTGTTTTATTCCAAATATCACATAAATTAAATACATTTCCCATGAATATTGCAAATATACATGAAATGAACATTGCAATTTTTAAAAAAAGTTTTGGCTTTGCTTATGCAACAAGAAGTGCCAAATGTGGTTAGAACATGAACTTCTCCTGTATTTACTAGATACAAAAAGGTGCAGATTAATAATTTATATTTTATACATATGTACACACTCCATAACTAGCTTTAAAACAGTAAAAAATGGTTTCAAGTTTATCTACATTAAACATACTCATTTAAATCTGGTCAGAAGCCCCAGATAAGAGTTGATACAATCATTTCACAACTGCAAAATTAAGGCGCTACCAAAATACCAGTTCCACTAGTGTAAAATGTAATAGGAATAGAGAGTGTACAGCTTTCTATTTATCAATTTAAAAGTGGACTGGAGAAGGAGGAAAAAGGAGCAGTAAGAAACATGACAAGATCTACAGGTTAGAAGTACAAAGAGATCTCGATGACTATCAAATGAACATATTAAAATACAGTAGATAAAAGGCCTCAGTGGCAAACAATTAGTATGCTTCTGAAAGACAAAAAAAGGTTAAAATATATATATCATTTTGTAGCTTGAAGCTTTACAGGTGAACAACAGGTGTAGAGGTAGAGGGATTTTTTTTTCTTTTTTTTGGCCTCTTTATGATGTATAAAGAAGGGCCACATTCACCACAGTGAAAAGACTCATCATATATCCCAGCATCCTTGCTTGGACAGCAAGCAAGAAAAGTGTAATGAGCTAGAAAGGCAACGAATTCTGTCTATCTCTTCCAGGAGCTCAGCTCCAACGCTTCCACACGTACCTTGGCGACAAGTTACACCGAAGTGCAGACCGGCCGTAACGTGGACATTTCCTCTAGAGAGAAATGAGATAGCTAGCTTTTCCCATGAGGTACTACCGGATGCTGTAGAGATTATATGGCAGAGAGAATTTGGTAACAATGAAATTGGCACTTCCCCTTAGAGAGCAAGTACCACAGGGCAGTGGTGATCTTTCTTTATTAAAGCTTTGCTATTTGATCAGCATTCAATGTTTTGGAAGAAATGTCAGCTTCGGGCTGCTAATATGATTATTTGCATCCACACACAGACAATTCCTAGGTTGTCATCATTTATCCAAAACATCAGTCACTGAAATATTCACAAACTGCTTTAAACCTTGACTAAAAAAAAAAATCCCTCTACAGTTCAGCTTTCTCTTAGGTAACTATCATTCCATTAATTATATGGGCCTTCATGAACACAGTAATGTCACTTTCCATGTAAAATGTGTCTTCACACATCACAGAACAGCAGTAAACAATCTCTCTTGTTCCGTAAGGTTTCCTCTCAAAAGTACCTCAAAAGCAGGTATCTTGAAAAATCACTTTTGCAAAGAATATTCACATTAGTTACTGAGGCAAAGCCAAGAAGACACTAACTAGCACCTTGATATTTTTTTTTTTCTCTTAAAAGCATTCCTATATGTAAAATTACGCACACGTAAGATCAGGGACCAGCAATATACAAATACCATCGGCGTCCCCTTGCAGCTAAACTAGCAACACTCAAAACTAGGCCAGACACACAAAGGAGCGAGATGAGGGAGCCTGGAAGAAACACATAGCATGGAAAGGGCTGGGAAGAACAGGAAGCTGAACAGAAAGGATTGCGAGATCACATACAGTCCATCTTCTGGTCTGAGAATTAGATTGCGAAACCACCCTTCAGTAGCTCAGCTGACAGTGGGCTGAAGACCTACTGACTTCTGACATTTCCTCCCCTGTGTGCAGAACAATTCCTTTCTACTTCACTGACCTCCTCCTCATCATTTTCAAACCCCGGAGGAAATGCATCCAACTTCATTTTCGAGTATTTTGGTGATGGTAGCAGAACTTGCAGAAGGCTACTGTAGAGGTTACGACATCATTGGTTGTTAAGTTACGCACTTCACAATTCAGAGAATACACTTACCAACTATTTAAATAGAAAAGGCGTGTTCAAGGTAGAGGCAGTTACAGTACATTCAGGGTATGTTACAGAAACCATTTGTGGTAGCCATTTGCTGAAAGGAAAAAAACTCTGTATTTTTGTTTCCCAGACCACACAGGTTATACCTACAATACCCAAAGAGAGCAGGTAATATATCTTAATGACTGCTTTTTAATGCAGTCTTCTTCCAGAATTCATGTGCAAAGTGAAAAAAAAAAAAGTTTAAATATATCTTCATTGACAAATAAGGACAAAGAACTAAAAAAAGAAACCAGGCACTTTGACCATTTAGGTAAACAGCCATTTCTTCTCACCGGACTTCTGCACATGAACAAGTCTTTACATTGGTCTTGCTATGCTTGCAGCACATGGAGATTCAAGTCAACTTTTTTTTTTTCCCCTGTTGGTAGTATCAGTTCTACTTATAGGAAACTACGCCAATTGAATTGGTAACACTGTTCGTTATTTCATTGGCAGTTGAGCAAATGCTGATCGTTTGCCTGACAAGCGATCAATTTAATAGCTATCAAAGTTAGATATTAACAAAACAATACATACAAAAAATAATCAAAGAGACAAATGAAGGTTAACACCTGACTTAAGCTTGCATTGAGACTTGCCTTTATAGGCTCGGTTTGTGCCTCCCTTCAGGGCGTTATTGCGGTCTGACTTCCATCACATACGGCAACTGGTACTAAACTACAATACTTTCGGTTTGAAACACGTTCAGGAGAGATCACCCCATCATAACGGGAGGCTGGCGCGACACTGCAGGCAGGAGGGAGGTGGAAACCTCCCCGCGTTTCTTCCTCGCCGGTCCCACTCGCAGAGCAGGCGTCCAGAGCGAACGGCAGCATGCCTCCCTCGCACTTGGCGTGAAATCGTTATTTCACAGCAGCGTTCATCATACGTTAGGGAGCCGGCTTGATTCAAATTTAGTGATAAGACCATCTAGGATTACTTCTTCTTTTCAAATAAACCAAAGTAGACCTTTCCAAATATTTTGTACATACTCCATCCGCTACAACACATAAATCACAAGAGGGATTACCTAAGGCTACTAAATAGTGCACTTATTCAGTAGCTATTATTCTTTCAGAATAAACACCCTCAGATGCCTTAACCACAAACAGCTTGATTTTTTTTTTCCTCGCAGACTGCTGTTTGCTGAAGAGAGAGAGACGTGGGTGTATGACAGACTGCCTACCGATCCACTGCCAGAGCACACTGTCGCTTACAGTCTTCACGCGTACTTCTGCCGGGCAGCGTAACTCCTCTTCTGTTCACTGCCTTCAAGCAAGTCTAGGAAACACCTCTTCAATCCATTGTCCAGTTTCCTTTTCCCATCAAGTGGAAATCCAAACCACATGCAGGCCAATGGTGCTACTCTAGTACTGAAGTCTCTTGCAGGCTAGAAATATCAACTCTATCGTAGTACTTTGAAGCAATTATCCACACCTATCAGCTACGCTCTAACTGTCGCACAGCTTTGTAGAGGCTCAGATTTCATCAGGACAACAGGAGAGAGTGCAAGGTTTGGTGAATACCCAGGATAACAAACTGATGCAATCGATGAATGCTGGACAGTCAGAAAGGGCTGTTCCTTTTTGAAGGAATCTTTGAGAAAACAAAAAACAACCCCTCCCCCTTCGCCCTCCCCCAGAACAACCTGTCATGAGATGTTTTCGGTGCCCACTCACAACTGAAGTCCATGTTATCTGGGTCTTTTGCGAGTCACAAATATCAATACGCGTCTGATGGCGATAAGACGATCTTTAAGGGAGGTCATAGCCAGTATAGCCAGCTGAGCTCTGTTCTCCAGAGGCAACACTGCCAAGAGCCACCAGTACCAGGCAGGACCACTGGGGTTGCTCTGCAAAAGGACGGAAAGACATGCCATCATGTATTCACCAGCACTGCCCCATGAAGAACACCACCTTCCTTCCCACCTTCTATTTGCTAAGAAAGTCACCACAAAACAGTTCAAGCAGCAACTAAAAAACTTCAGGTGCTCTCCTTGTTTATATACGCCATTAAGACTGATCTCTTCAGATACCAACTTACATTGGTATATTGTTTTCCATTGAATAATTTTTTTCTATGCTTCATGCTAATAGTCCGAAATTGGCTAAGAAAGAGTTTAGAACACACAAAACCACAGCAAAACCTGTCAGGAAATAGTCTTGTGTAAAAATTCTGTATAGAATAAGACTGCATAAGTAGAAAGGTTTTATTACCTGTGGCTCTGGTTCTTTTCCCGGCATGGACCCAAAATGATTGAGAATTTGCATTTTCATATTGTCTTTAAGAGAAGTAAACCAGGCAACAGCTTGATCATAAACTGAATCATGAAGGCGGACAAGTTCTTCATATTCTGGTCCTTCAACCTTATTGTTAAAAGAAGCGAGATGGAACAGAACAGGTTTGATACCGTGGAGTCCACACGCTTCCCCAGCAGCAAGCGAAGCAAAATAATGCAGTGACTACAGCTGTTCAAATGTCCTGATCTAAGCAAACTGTACGCAAGTCTCAGATTTCAAACCTGTGATGCTGGAGTCTTTTTACCCTCCCCCTAAGTGTTCTGAAGTGACATTTCTTGGGGCAGTAACTGCCTCGTTAATATCCATTCCTAAATGCTGGCACAACAGAAAAACCTGCTCTCTGATCATGGGACATCATATTAATCATCTGAAACCCATGACCTCGAGTCCCTGTCACGGCAGGACCTCTGAACATTGGTATACAGTCTGGCAAAACAAAAGAAACACTACTGCCACCGAGCACAGAGACAGCGGCTCTATGGCACTTAGAGACCAGCAGTATTTTACAGAAGTGTTAAGGCCATGGCAGGACAGCCGAGGAGGAGGAGGGCAGACACCTGAGCAGGCAAGAAGCAGGGCAAGTGGATGCTTTCCCAATACCAGAATGGCATTTAAAAAAAAAAACCCCACCTCGCTGAGGCAAAGAGTGTTTTAGTTGCACAGGCCTAACTATTAGCTACGAGGGAAAAGAAAAAAGCGTAAGCAAAACCCACCACAACCCGGTGATTTGATTTGTTTGGTTTTTTGGTTTGAGGCTGTTTTTCCTCCTGTAATCTGTAGGCATCAATGGTGTGATTCACCTGTGCTACCCAGATGTAGATCTGCGCTAGCTGCTCTGGATGCCCTTCACAGTCAAGGAGGAACAGCTCTAGAGGGCAATTAATCTCGTCTTAAGGTAGGTATCTAAGACAGAGCAGATAAAATACACAGCTTTGGACTGAGATTTCTCACAGTCAGATATAACATGAAGGTAGGGTGGTGAACACAGACGTCAGCCTCTCAAGTGAGACGAGGTAAATCTCACTCTTAATTACGAAGAGGTGTGTCTCTGGCACCATCTACAAACAATGCCTGGATACTTGTGTTCCACCACCCTGCGCTGGTGACTTAAACACGGCAGGGCCCTCACTCTGAGAGGACTACCTACTCCGACCTTTCGCAGGGGGAGGCACCTCCACACAATCTGCCTTTCCTACCCAGGCCAACAACTGCATCATCCTGCACAGGTGAGAAAAGCCCCACTAAGACTTTATAGACTTGCACTCCAACTATGGGACCGCACTGAAGAGCTGTATGACCAGAGTGGAATTCATCAACCGGCATGAGATTATAACTAAGCTCAATGTTAAGAGGGATTACAGTTTTGCAGACCTGGTCTGAAGATGATCCAGCAAGTCATCATTAAGCAAAGCCAAAAATCCACCCTTTGGCCAACACCCACCACAAGCACCTCACTTGAAGCAGGTTTTATAAGAGGCCTTGTTTTAAAAACCTACTCCCCTCCCTGTAATTCTCCGCTCTCAGCCAGCTCTGATGGATGCTCATACAGGTGTGGTTAACTACATGTCACTGAGATGTCATTTTAAGAGCGGACTCCCACATTGGTTTGAGAACCTGTTCTGTAAACGAGAGCTTGGAGGTCATACGAATTCTCCAACTGTCTGTTTAGGGCAAGAAGAGAATAGTCAGCTCTCTAACAACAGGGGCATGTGCTCTTAGCAGGGTTTCAAATCTGTACCAGTTTTAAAACGTTACTCTGACCTCACCTACATGTCATGACACACCTCAGCACCCGAGTCTGAGAAGCTACTTTGAGATCCATGACAGGAGCGCAACACTTCAAGCAGAGATAATAAGGGCAGAAAGGAAGAAAGGGAAGGAAGAGACAAAGATTGTTCCATGGTTTTCAAAATAGACCTTTAGTATTTATAATGGTATTGGTTTAAAAATAATGCACAGCTAGCTTGAAATGCAACAAGGAAAGGCTATTTAAGTGAATCCAGCAATACATGGGTATGAATAACTTTGCACCATAGATCACCTTTTTATCTTCAAGATACTCGATGTTTGCTGTGTTATATCCATCTCGCTGGCCATGGCTTAAGACCCTAAAACGACGGACACCAACTGTATCAACAACTGAGCGCCCATCAGGAAAAAACTTTACGTCCCTGATCTCTAATATACAGCCATGATCTGCAAATCTGAAATGACAGAAGGGCATAAAAGGGGAAGTCATCAACAAGTGTTTATACACATCAGGACAAATACTGGGCCTAATTCACCACTTCTTATTTGAAAGAGGATCCTGCTTTGGTGACAACACATTTCTGCTTGTTCACATCAGCCACACAACCCCCACCCTTTCTGCCTTCCCTCAGAGGTCCAGGGCAGCAGCATTTTCGGAGTGTATCTGCAGGGTGGGAGGGTTGGGAAGGGGCAGGAAACTCAACAGAGCAGGTTTCATGCTGGGAGTTGGCAGCTGCTGATGGCAAATTCATCTGGTTTGCAAAGACAACAAGATGGCTAAAGATATCATAAGGAAGTCCAGAAACCGAGGAACAAATGCAGGGCTGGAAGGACTATCCCCCTATTCTGAGGTGTAAACACAGGATTACAGGCTTTAGAAGGAAAAGGCTTCTATAGGGCAAGATTTGTTTCTTGCACTTGTTACCTTAAAGTTAAAAAAAACCCCCAACAACAAAAAACCCCACTCAACAGGGGGGAACACCCAAACCCAAAATATCCTCTTCACAAAAGCACATTTGTACCTGCTATATTTAAAGTAGGCACCGGTTTTAACCAAGCCCTGGAAACAAGCATGCAACAAATTTTTACTTTCAATGATCAGGCTTAGCTACTCTACGTTTGTGCTGTAATGAGTTCACTAGAGAGGCTGATTTGTACCATCACTCTTCACCACGATACCTGATCTGCCACCACTTGCAGCTCTGCACCTCAGTCTACTGCTAAGCAGGAGAATGCACTGTATCTACTCTCATCTCCAGTTACCAAATCCCCACATAAACATTTCACCAGGGAAACCTTTGTTTTACCAGGGCTTGGCCATTTCTTACATCAGAGTGATGAAGAAACAGCGACACTACGGGGAAAAGACTCTTGTTTCTACTCTACCAGAAATCATGGGCTTGGGAGGAGAAAAAAAAACCCTCATCGCTGTGAACAACTGTTCTCTCCTGGCCATTGTACAGAACAAACTGAGGAGGAGGAAGGAGAGTACAGCTGCACACAGCTAAGCCCTGGTGCTCTACCAGTGGGATTACAAAAAGTGGAGTTTATTCTAGCAATATTATACTAAGCACTGTTTACACAGCTACACAACAATTGTTTAAACTAATGATTTCAGTGACATTCATACCGAATTTAGAAATTAAGCTACAAGTGATGATTTTTTTTTTCTTTTTTGTCTTTCTTTGAGAAGTTACTTTTGGATAGAAAGTAACTTTAATCAAAGAGAGACAAGAAAGCACCTTGAAATGGGTATAAAATGTAGACACATTCAAAGTTTATATTCTTCTGCCTATTTTAACTTAAAATGGAGAAATAAACCAGAGGAAGGTAATGAATTGAACATGTCACTGTGTTTTCCACGGGAGGTATGTATCCATGGCAAAACAAGTTTCCCCACTTTTTGTATTCCCAGTTGATTCTGCAATTTTGAATAAACAAAGGAACTTCTTGACTTGTGCAAGAAGCTACAACAGCCTGCCAGGTGCCTGCCTGACAGATGAAGGCTTCTTGTGCTTCAGTGTTTGATTTAAGTTACCATGCCTAAAACGTTTAATTATTTCAGTAACTCAAAACAGACAGGACATAAAAATCTAACCATACTGCTCGTATTTTTAAATACCCTTTATGACACTACCTAATAAACCAGTTCTTGTGTTTTGGGGATTGTAAGCCCTTGGCCCTCTGTATTAGGCCTGACTCCGAATAAGTTTGGCTCTTCCACAGCCTTCACAGACCTATGGGGAGTTATCACTGATGTCCTAGGCTCATTTTGTCCTCACTCTTACAAGTATTTGCTTCCAGAAAATTGGTAACAGGCCTGGAAGGGACTGTGGAGCACCAGCTGCTGCTGGAGCCTGAAATCCACTGAATGCAGCACTGACAGCATGCCAAATGGCATGAAGCACAGCCAGAGCCGACTGGAAGCTGTAGCACCTCCTGTATGCTTACTGCCATCTTACTGTCTAGTCTGGGAGAAAATAAAACAAAACAAAACACCCAAACAACCTGAACTGGACAAGGAAAGGCTGCCAAGTCCTGGTATGAGTGCCCTCCTCAGCTGCAGTGATGATCACCTACAATAATGCTGCTCCTGAGGATACCTGTCTAATGTGTTCTTAAAAATTCCCACGCTGGTTATCCATTCTACAGTCTGCATCACTCCAACACAACTTTTGAAGTCAGCAACTATCTATTACATCTTGTAAGGCAGACCTTTCTTAAGATCACCTTATTTTTTTCCCCACGAGCACCTTCTTAACCCCTTCACTCAAAAAACTGCCATCTATAAAGGACTTAAAAAACTGACGGTTTTCGTCTAATGATTAGTATTCAGTCTCCGCACAGGGAGCTGGAAACACACCAGCGTCAGGATTCACAAAAATGAATTAAAGGTAAGATCATATAAAAAAGACAATGTAACCCACTCACTGCGGATAATTTAGACATTGCAACACAGCAGTAAAGACAAGCATCAAAATTCAACGCTTAGCAGCAGAGCAGGCTTCTCACTCAGCCAAAGGTATACTTTGTCTCATTCAAATGATACCATCTATGCAGGAAAACTATGTGAAGTTTGGATATTTTTTTTTCGATATTATTTTTATTTTTTAAAACTGAGCAGACAGAAGAGCAACCTCACCCAGTCAGCCAGCTTTCACTAGAACAAACAGGCTAGAAAGCTTTCCAACCACACAAACAATTAAGTGCTTTTTTTGGAACCTGCAGTAGCAGGATGAGTTGTATTCTTGTTATCCATCCAACAGAGAAGCAATAAAAAATTCATCTTTGTGTCAAAAGGAATGTTTAATATATGAAACTAAAAAGCCATCCACTTCTGTATTGCTTCATACAGGACTGGAAGGAACCACAGGGGTTTGGGGAGACAAGTATACTGGGCTGAATGTAGTACTCCATTAGCGTCACAACAGCGTCTACAACAACAGGACATACTCAGCTCATCTCCTTACCCTTTTAATTCATCAGCTAAGCACATGCCAAACTGCTTGGTACCAGTTTCCATGCATCTTCTTATCATTAGACGGTAACGAGGTTCAAAGACATGGAGTGGACAAGGGATGGTAGGGAAGGCCATGGTACATACGAAGATGGGAACGTCTTTATTCAGACTGCAAGGTAATTGTTAAAAAAAAAGTTCAGCTTTTTTCTGGGTACTGCTACATTCAGCATAAACCCTTAACACGACACTGAGTCCAGTGGTTTCTTTAGACTCATTCTTTGTAAATGTGTATCTGGCCGAAGCCTGTCATTTTTACAAGACAAACATATTTCAGGGCGCTCTCTGTTAGTATATTAAATAAAAAGTCCCTCTAATCTACTTTCATAGACAAAAAGTCAGGAAATAATTTTCCCAAATGTGTGTATATCAATACTTAAACACAAGTAGTAAGATATTGGTGTGAACACAAGTAGTAAGATATTGGTGATAACTTTTTATAGTAATATAGTACCTAAGAACTAACCAGGTTCAAAGCAAGGTGGTAGAGAATTCCCAAGCTCAGTAAAGCCCTTTAATTTTCAAGAATCCCACTAATCCTCATATTATTTTTTCAGGCTTAACTGCATGTTTTATTTTTCTTTTTAGCTGAGTTGTAGCGTAAGATCCACTAGCCACTGACAATGGTGAACCCCTGGAACTTCTCCTGACCTGAAGTATAACCCATTTATAACTGGAATTCTACTCCCAAAAAACTTCTATTATAACTTTTAAAGCTATTATACTGTTGCAGAGGAAAAAGCAATTATCATTATTTTAAGAATATTTTTGTGTCTCTCTACCATCCAAGCATATTTTTTTCTTGTTTATCTGCAACAAACATCTCAAAAATACAAAACATCTGGCAGGTTCATTGGCAAATTCATTCTATTTGTGCATTTGCATAAGCAAATGAAGCTTCTTCAAGTAATTTAGAATAAAAAATACATTTTTATAACAGCTGTCAGTAGTAAAATGAGAGCCTACTTTGACAATTCCTTCATTTCTTCCTCATAAACTTTCTTCCTTTCAGATAATTCCTCTGGCAAGTAACGGACTATCAGTTCTTCTGTAAGGACGGTCTTCTTGTAAGTTCTGCTTGCTAGAAACTGCAAGAAGAGTCAACTTCTAAGTCTGGTAACGAGAAGTCAGGTTAACATCTCTTCCTCCCAAGCCATCCCCTTTCCTAAGGCCAAAGAGCACGTTAGTTCGGGATTGTACTGATTCCTCCTCCTTTACAGCCTTCAGGTATCAAAATTTCCACTTCAGGATATGAGGTTCACTCCGGTGCCCATTTAACTATAACCCCGTGCCCTTTATTTGCAGAAGTTGTACTGCCTCCAAGAACAGGCAGTCCCTCCTCACACTTGCGGAAGTTGCATACGTTATTTGCACCTAGAGCTGTCGGGTTACTGCTCCCCAAGAAGTACTCCACGTACGAGACACATTATGTCTGTCTGTCGGAGCAGAAGCTTTGGCCAAGGAGTGACCACTCCTCATTCACCACAGAGATACAGACTGGAGAGGCGGTAGGAACAGGGCTATGGTTGGGGCTCCCCAGGCACGACCCTGACGTGACACTGGAATCCTCAATTTCTTTCAGAACCCGCAAACCACGTGCATCTTCTAAAATCTGTTCTAGAGCAAATGAGGTCTGTGCACAGCTTGATGCTGCGGGTACTACTGTGTTGTTCTGGTCTGCGAGCAGAGCACAGAAAATCCCCGTATACATGTTTTCAGAAAAAACAGGTTTGTATTTTTTTGTTAATTAGGGCAAAGACATACTCACTTCTGACAGCTTTTCTTTGCAGAGTGGGCAATGCGGATTATGGTCAAGGCAACGCTCAAGGCATTTGAGGCAAAAGGTGTGTCCACAGGGAGTGGTAACAGGTTCGTAGAACAACCTGAACATGAAAACATGGAACAAAAAAAGCTAAGCTGCCAACATAAACAATACAGATCCCCAAGCTGTGGAAAGCAGTGACTAGATCCAGCCACCTCTTCCCTTCCTGCTTTTGCATAAATCACAGGTGAGAGTTTTATCTAAGGATATGGAAAAGGTTTTCACTTTTAGGAGTGGTAAAGAATGGAGAAAATCATGTGTAATGGAGAAAATCACATCTGTAAAGATTCACCAGCTGCAAGGTTCAGGAAAAAGGTAGTGATTTAGACGTTCTTTGGCAGGTTTCCCAGAAGCTAGAAGGGCTTTCTGATCTTAATCCCAAATCAATGCAGTCGTACCTCATGCAGAGGGAACACTCAAAGTCCGATGCATCCACCAGAGTTGTTGGTACCTCTCCTGAAGTGATGACGGTGTTTTCAGGCAAAACATCTGCATCTAAGTACAGTTCAGATGATTACAGTAAATATTTAAGTATTACTGAGGTTTCAGATGCTGCTTAATTTGTTTTTCCATACAGAAACTAATTTCTCTCTTTTCTTTTCTTGAAATTTCATTCCAAACAAACATATTTTCCTTTCAAGTTTTAGACTTTATCTTTTGGAGAGCAGAGGATGATGTCTATGGCTAGAAAAAGCACTTCAGAGCTGAATACCCATGTTTTGCTTTTCCAAAAATGGTCGGTTTTGTTTTTTTTTTTACAGTCTAGTTTTTAAAACACTCTGCTATTGCTTTCCCACCACCATCACCACTCCCACATCAGCCAGACCAGATGTTTTAAAGTACATTAAGTCCAGAATTTAATTTGTTTACACACAGTAAAACTATTTCAGTGTTTATTATAGATTTCTCAGCAGGAGTAATTTTTCTTACAAGCATTAAAAAGCTTATGCTCTTCTAGTCTAGGCTGCTGTGGAGATGCCCTGTTTCAGACAGCTTAAAGTTTAACGACTACTGGAGTTGCATTAGCTAATACTGATTTCACTAGCTCAGCACTCTGCAAACATGGAGACGAAACACTTCACTTAAACTTCTGCCCACCCTGGTTTTTTGGGGCTGGTACCTATCCCTGTAGTTAACACAGTTAAAGGGCATGGGCTTCAAACTTCACAGCAGCAGCGTTTAAGCTCAAGAGCTACCAGCTCAAGCTTCTTACGACATTAATACAAGCAGATTCTGCTGCTTCTTTTACAATGTGCCCCTTTGCTGCTCAGCGAGAGTTGCAACAGAGCGACGAACGCTGCCTCCACGTCCGTTTTATTAAGCAAATTCTTGACTGTTAGAAACAAATGCTCAGCTTTTTATGTTCAGTTAAAACACTAGGATGTTTTGTTAAAGGATAACTTATGCTCAGCATCTGGTTTATCTCGAGCGCAGACGGGACAGGGGAGAGGGCACTGGTGTTGTGTGGCCCACAAAGAAAAACACTGTTATCTTTAACCTACATCTCGCATGTTAGCATTCAGTAACATCAAGAACCTAGCTGTGTTAATTCTGCAAATAGTAACACGGCATCGGGATCTAGCTCAGGCCAGAAACTAATGGTTACAGGTAAAACGCGATCTCTGGCCTTCGCTGCGAAGATACAGGCGGGTCACATTTCACAATCTGTTTACCGAGCCCGCGGCTCGCAGACAAGTACGGGGCTTTGCCCTCCGCAGCAACGGGATCAGAAACCGGCCCCACGCTGATCGTTCGCAGAGATGTCAGACAGACTTTCAGCATTTCAAGGCAAAAGTCAGATTTGTCAAGGAGGTGTTGGGGTTTTTTTTTTAAATGTACGCTAATGTAACAGCATTTTAAAAGCCCCTTCTAACCAATTATTTCACTACTCAGTGCAATATCTTGCCTTCAGCATTTTTATCCCAGGGTACTAAAAACACTTTGGAGGTCTTTGTTAGAAGCTTGAGAAGCATACCAATTGTAAGCACAGCTATCAAGGGACAGAAAACTCGGGGGGGGGCACTTATTACCCTTCAAAAGGCTTCTTTGTTTGCTTGGAAAATTTCATGTAAAATTGCACGTGACTGTTTCTGATGCCAGTTAAAGATTAGCTTCTGAGCTTACTGTGTCTCTCCTTCCTATAGAAAGACAATGAAGTGCAGCTATACCTCTGAAATCCAGAAAATGGAAATGGTACCAGCAACACAAAGACTAAATTCTTAGTTTGCAAATGGCGCATTTGAGCAAGAAAAACACAGTGTTCATCGAATGAATCGAAACTGCTCTGGAATAAGGTAAATAGGCTGCTACAGCAGAAACAGACACACCAGACAACAAAATGTTATTCCAATCCCTGTTGGGAATGTTTCACTAACACCTATAAAAAGGGAGGACGAAAAAGGTAGTTCATCATTTTTGAGTATGTCCAAAAGAAATCCCCTTTCTAAGCCACAACACAAACCTTTTTTAGGAATCTTATTGGGGACATCCAAGCTTTGTAAATCCCTCATATCACTGGACAGCTTTCTTTTTAAGCCAACCCCAGGTAAACTGGAGAGAATAGCTCCCAAAGACTTCTTGTTATCTTCAAAATAGAGATCCAGAACATGATGGGAAACAGGAGAATCAGTGCTTCTAAATACATCAGATTCTTGGGACGGGGTTTTTGTTAACCTGAACACAGTATCCTAAAAAAATTAAGAACAGTTATATACAGTATGAGACAATTTTGCTTTGTTTTTTTCCCATTAGTTGTATACATCAGCAATAGATCATTGAGTTAGCAAGGGAGAAAGGTCCATCTCAAAGAAGGCCACTCTCCAGTTGCACGAAATGGGGCCGCTTCTCTCCCCACAGCTTCTGACTCTTGAAATTATATTCCTGTCATACTAAAATCCTGAGTGGAAAAAACCACCCACAAATATAATCGATCCCCACATGAAGGCATCACACTGTTTTCTGAAGAAAGAATTTCATTCTCTTATTTTTCTGAGGAAGTACATCCCAACAAGAGATCCAACAGCAACGGAGAAAACAGGCTTACCATAATAGTAAGTGCCTACATGAGTGCAGACAAAGACAATGTCACACAGATCAGACAGATCCTTGCGTTACTTCTGCTAGTGTTGAATGCGTTTTACTTTACCTTTGAGGACCCAGCAACAGAGCTATCTTCTGCAGCTGACTGTGTGTTTATGCTGCTCAGAAATGCAGGTTTCAATCTTGTATGGGATGTTCGACTAGAGAAAGGTGCTGTTAGACTATCATGCACATTTTCAAAGGCTGGGAAAAACATCTCACACATTATCTAGTCAATTAGAAAGAGAAAAAAAGAAATAATAATTATTACAAGATAGTTATTTATGTTTGTATGAACACAGATACACAAACTTCACAGCTTCTGGATGTCAAGAAGCTTGAGGACATCCTGCATTCCCCAGTGCCCACAGCAAACCAGCACAGCAGTCTCACCACAACCACAGACACATCCCAAGGTGCTCTTCTGGTGTCCACCTCCCACCCTGAACGCCTCAGCTGCCCAGGAGTGCCTGGGGCGGCACTCTGTTGCATCCTTCTCCTACCCTTACCCGTCTCCACTCCAACCCTCAGACCCCTGCCTCCAGATGCCTTCAGACCGTGCTCTCCTATCCAAATCGGTTGACAGAGATGTGTTCGGCTCTCCTTGTGCTCTCCATCCATCTCCTCGACCCTCAAGCAGATTTCACCCCTAGCTAAAAGTTGCGTAGAACCTGTTCTCCCTCTCACCAGTCCCCACCAAGCGCCTTACTGAATCCCCACTTCTTTTTTGAAAAAGCTGCCAGTACGGACCGTCATGGAGAACCTGACAACGGTTGGTTAGCAGTAAGCATGTCCCTTTCGGGAATTTATATAAACTGCTACAGAGACTGCAGGATTTTTCCAGGACAGGGCAGCATGCAGCTCCCCTTCTCAACCCTCTGCCACTTCCCACTTCAAAGTGGTTCTCCAAGGGGCACTAAAATTAGGGGCCTTGAGCCTACGAAACCCAGGTGTAGTCAAATCCAGCCGACAAACTGCAAGCCTATCTACAAACAGCAGCAGCCAGACCTACAGATTTGCAGTGCAATCCACAAATATACAATCCCTCTGGCTGAGGTATCAACAAAACCCAAGAGGCACCTCGCACAGCATAACACTAATAAGGTTTAATGGAGAATCTACTGAATCAAATTATCCTTTCATTGTTTACTATCACCTGAAATAACACAAATTTTACTCGGCTGCAGGAGCAAGAGCAGCGTGATGGCCAAGAAGCAGCCAGTAAATGCATTTTATACCTTTTGGGCTTCTTTCTTCATTGAGCTCCATTCAGGATTTAAGGCAACACAATAGAGAAACTCCTTCAATGCTTCCTCAGTCCTTTCCAATCCAGAAAGAGCTTTTGCTTTCACATAATGGCCCTGTTCACACAAAGGAAATGTACAAATCTAGAGATCATTTCTGAAGTGGCAGCAAGACACCAGCAAACTTGGAAGTTCACACCGTTCTGCAGGTGAAGATGCTTTTTGGATAACAACCTCTTTAACACACACAATCGAAGGAAAGTCAGTCCTTCTTGCCAAAAGACGACCTCCCAGCAACCCACTGCTGCATCACCCCCTGCCAAGAACACTGCTCTTTTCCTCAGCAGGGACCTGATATGGAATGGGGAGGGGTATTTGTCTCCCCAGGGACGAAGACTACTACATATCCCACCGGGCTCGATACCCTAGAGAATGGTTTCATACACCAGGGCAAACTCAACTGTAATGAATCTGCATGGGAAGGGCAGTGGCAAGGGGTAGGCTGGAGGTGACAGCTGAGCAAGCAAAAGGTTTTAGGTTCAGGACACTCTCACTTCTGCTAAGTGTTTTACCAGGACAGAGATGATTTCTCTCATAGCTTATTTGGCTAGATAAGACCAACAATATTATGAATTTAGGGCAACTTCTCAAAGCTTAACCTGAAACCTTTTACCCCATCCTACCTCTCCCACATCCTGGACAACACATCCATGGCCAACAGGTAGGATGGTCAGCTTGGGGACAAGTCCTACTTTACTTGTTACTGTAGCAAGAGATGAATGCCTCACCTCTGAATTTCCCTGCGGATATAAATTTGCAGTTCAAATCTGACTATGGAAATCTCTTCTTTAACCATGAAAGGAAACTAAGTGTGCATTTAAACATTTGCCTCTTGCTTATTAGACAGAAGTGTGCTCTGCAAGTCGACCTATGATCCACATGACTGTCTCCAGGCTGTGCTGAAAGTACAATTTCACTACCCCGAGTGACTGGTTAGATAAGCAGATACACTTTTCTATTCTTCATACCAATGCCAAAAGATCCAGTATCACATAATCTTCCCAAGCAGGTACCTCCCTCACTCTTCCAATATAGTCCTTGAAGCTGAGGCACTTTATGACCTTTACCTTTCTACCGTTGGGAAGAAGGAGGCTTGTACCAAAAGCAAGTAACGGGCACTGTGTAGGACAGGTTAATTAACATACATCATTTGGTGACCTGAACAAAAAGTCTCAGGACACACCAGTTTCTCAAAGCGAGATACATTTTCCATTTCCTGAATGCAGTAAGAAGAGGGGTACTGTGACCCTGACCTTCTCATCTTGACGCTTGCACAGTCTCTCTATAACCTTTTTAGAGAGGTCCTAACAAGCCTGGCATCGCTGTCAGGATTCCCAGTTCAAGAAAGATAAGGAGCTACTGGAGAGAGTCCAGCGGAGGGCTACAAGGATGGTGAGGGGACTGGAACATCTCTCCTACGAGGAGCGGCTGAGGGAGCTGGGCTTGTTCAGCCTGAAGAAGAGAAGGCTGAGAGGGGACCTAATATATACTTACAAATATCTGAAGGGTGGGTGTCAGGAGGATGGGGCCAAGCTCTTTTCAGTGGAGCCCAGGGACAGGACAAGGGGCAGTGGGCACAAACTGAAGCACAGGAAGTTCCGTCTGAACGTGAGGAAGAACTTCTTCCCTCTGAGGGTGACGGAGCACTCGAACAGGCTGCGCAGCGAGGTTGTGGAGTCTCCTTCTCTGGAGATATTCAAGATCCGCCTGGACAAGGTCCTGTGCAGCCTTCTGTAGGTGACCCTGCTTCGGCAGGAGGGTTGGACTAGATGACCCACAGAGGTCCCTTCCAACCCCTACCATTCTGTGATTCTGTGTGATTCTGTGATTGCTCCACTGTGCTGGGGAGGCTACACGGTCGCTTGGCCTCGTCCTTTGGGGCCGCAAGAACAATCTCCTTATCCAAGCTGCAAGGGAGGACTGAGCTGGGCTGCCTATGGACAAAATACCTGAAGATCCAACACCAGAAGCTAGGCCCTGGGACTAGAGGCGCCTACATTTCAGAGATTAGTGCTGCCACCATCCCTTTCCTATTTTCACACAGCCCTGAGGAGCACCAGATTGAAGGGTAAGGTCCAGGCAGGATCTCGTGCAGCAGGCAGGAGGGCATCCATTTCTATTCACCACACAAAAGTACAACTGGAAACCTCTCCCTGCCTCAGAGAGTCCAAGGACCTGGTTTTCACAGCAACTGAAAAGAAACCAACTTGCCTATTGCTCTAATGACTACAGCAGACTCAGGAGCTTCACCAGTAACTCAGCGAGCCACCACATTTCAGTTACCAATAAGCCAAAAGGTACTGCCTCCCAGGAGCTACTCTCAGAATGAGTTTAATTTTATGTTTGTTTGGGTGGTTTTTTTTTTGTGGTGGGTTTTTTTTGTTTGTTTTTTGGTTTTTGTTTTTGTTAACTGCACAGTGCATGTTTGAGCTAATCTCTGCCACTGGATGAGATGCTGCAAGACACACAACAAAGCAGATGCCCAGGATTCCAGAAGAACATGGATTCTGGGTCAGCACAGCCTACATGGAAGTTTTCACACACACAAGCAAGCACAAGTGAAATGCGTCTGTGACACTCCTGGTTACGCCATGATGACAAATTTCATTTTCAATTAGCATTCTTCAGAGATGTGATTAACAAAATCTTTATCCGCCTACGACTGACACGCATCACATTTCCATGGATTCAAGGCAAACAGAGAAGACGCTACAAGAAAACATCTGAACGTGCGTAATTCATCTTTCTCCCTCTGCACAGAAACCCAGCCAACGCCACCCAAGATGGATCCCTGACTTGATGAGAAATGATCCTAGACAGCAAGGCAAATTGGAGGCGGTGGGAAGATTATGAACTGCCTTCACATATGGAAGTTTTTAATGGGTGAGAAGACAGATAGCCTTCAGAGACAAATATCTAACTTGTCAGAAACCAGACACTTCAGACAGCACCTCTCTGCTCGCCCCACGTCTTCCCCAGCTGGAAACAGAGAGCTAGTTGCAGCCCCCTGGGCTGAGGCAGGCAGCTGAGGGGTTCATACAACACCTCCTTAGTCTTCGCAGGGAAGCCAAGGTCTGCCTGAAATCCCTCCCTGATCCCCCATGCTATCCTCTCTCCAGGTAGCACCCAGGGACTTTATGTGGTCAAACCTGTGCTTCGGTTTTGCTCCTGATGGGTGAGGGACTGACTGGAGGTGTGACCCTAGCGGGGCGAGCCTTCAGACGCCCAGTCTACCCTCAGGCAGCCGGCAGTAACGACAGGCACCATATGCTTCTTCCATTTCTCACTCATAACATCTTTTCTGACGCTTGCTTCCAACTACCCAAGAGCAATGCTCATTGCAGCACCTCCTTTCATTGCGAAAAAAAATCCCAACCCCCTCTACGAATCACCAGGACACATGCAGGAATCAGAGATGTGAACTCTTAGTATCAAAGGGGAGGGAATTGCTGAAATACAGTCTGTGATGCTCCTCAGAAAGACACGGTGGCCAGCAAAGCCACCCACCGCCTGGGACACACCATCCCAACGGGAACCGCAGGGCCATCCCGGGCTGCTGGAGCCTTAGGGACCCGATTTTGCTGCCAAGCTGCAGCACTAGCCCTAACACACCAACGGACACCAGCACAAAAAAAAGGAAACAAAACACATCACCGGCTGCCCACCACCGAAATTCCACTGGCTGGAGACATGCTAAGGACCTTTCAAGACTTGTCCTATGAAGAACTTCGCTTTCAGTAGACATTCCCAGCCCTGCTAATGCTGTGATGTTCTTCCAACAATGCCCTCAGCAGCACTGTCCCCACCACAGAGAGAAGCCCCAAGAACAAGCAATTTTCATTTTGGTCTTTACAACATGCAAGCACCATACCGCAGGCCAGTGGGGTTTGTTGCGGCAGAGGACATCTGCGTCGTGGAGAGCTTGCTGGTAGTTTTTCATCGACGTACAGAGTTCTGCTCGCTGTGCTGTGAGTGAACACTTGCAAGAGGCTGGAAAACAAAAAAGAATACAAGGAGCTCCATTAAAAGAAGCACTAGTACATGTTAAATACACAAACCTAATTTCTAGCCAGAGTAACCTAAAAAGCACTACTGCACAATGGTTACATTTATACTCTCCTGTAATGGAAAAGAGGCAATTCCTTCCTTCTGCCCTTCCTAAAATATATTCCTCTCAGCCTGGAAGCAACCTCTGTGTTTTCTCTAGCGGGACAGATTTCATGTTCACATATAGGACGTCACCTGCTCTTTCC